CCAACCTCCCGTGGATCATTTCCAGATTCCAGCCTCCGTTTCACATTCTTTTGACTTTGATCCTCACACGGGTTCAAAAGTATTTGTTCACATCAAGGTCATTCCAGCTGACTCGATATTTCGGCGAGACAAAACGTTTGAAAGAAAACAAGCGGTTAAAGAAAGCGTGGAGGGGTTTGGTACCTGTTTGTGTCACGCCATAAAGCGGAAAATTACCTCAAATACTGAAGGAAAAGACACGCATGAGAGATAAAGCCCAGGCAGCCAAAAGCACTGGGGTTCTGGATAACAATTTACAGCAGTAAACACTCTTGAACTGTTTAACTTCTGCATGGTTTCAGAGCAGGAGAAAGTCTAACTCTGCAGCTGGCAGACTTTAACCCTAAAAAAACCTGTTCAAATCCATGAGGCTCTTTTCATCTTCCTCCACTTGATTTTTTCTCTCATCTCTGTGTGAATGATGAAAAGGTTGTGGGTTGCTTTCCCCACTCCCCTCCACGTGAACTTGCAGGCTCTCTCATGGGCACAGACCTCCCAGTTTAGCTGGAAAATGAGTTAACAGGTAAAAATGACAAATGTCCTGCAACAGTTTCCTTTCCACTGGGTTTTCACCCTGCATAAACCAGAACAGACACGAGCAAATTGTGCCCCGCTCCCACTGAGGTTTTTGACTTGGAGGCAGCATTAATCCTATCAAGGAACAGTGACTTTCCAACCTATATTTAGGAGCAGTGTTCTCAGCATCCCTTGCACGATAGCAAAGACGGGAGAGCAAGAAGAGGAGGGATTTAGTGCACACCGTGATCTGCATTTATCCAGAATTCAGAGAATTTCACAGCTCTGGGGGCCAAAGGGATGAGCACTGATCACCTGGTGGGACCTGACTCTGATTCCAGTGAAATGCAGCTCTGTGTGTGCTGGTTTTGTGCCAGGGTGGGACCTGTGTGCACACATGTGCTTCCCCATCGTGGCAAGGAAAAAAATACAAACCCCCTCTGTTCTAAATCTGATCAGATTTCCCAAATCTAGGGACAGGGAAAATAGAGAGGTGCCACAAGAAAGGAGTTTTCTTGTTGGAATGACTGTTTAGCCAAAACCCCAGCTGTGTACAAAAAAAATCGCCAGTGCCAGGTTTAACCCAGCATTGTCACTCCTCTGTGCAGACTAAAGTCTTTCCCTGTCTCTTATCCTCCAAGCCATATTCCTTCCACCCATATTCCTTCCACAATCCCCATCTCTTCTCTGGTTTAGCGTTTCCCTAAAGCCAGGCTTACCCCCATGCCCCATTCCTGAGCCCAGTCCCAAATGTCTCCCCAGTACAGAGGATGACTGGGAATGCTCTGAACTGAGCCCCACAACCCTGCTCAGCCCAGATTTAACCTCTAGGGACCACCATGCAGGTGTCCTCCCTTTTTCACCAGATCACTGAAAGAATGGCATTTTCATGAGATCACCCTTCTGCCTTCAGAGTTTTCTAGAACTGATAAAAAGACTCATTAACTGCATCATGCTCCTAATAATGAATTGCCATTTTTTGTATCACAGTGCTTGAATACAATGGGGAACCAGCACCTATAAGTACCAAAATTTTTTATATCAACTCTTAAAAGTTGCTGAGAAAATAACCATTCTATCCTAATCCAGTAGGAACATTCCTTTAGGCCACTCTGAAATCAATTTGACCACCTGATTTACCCTCAATTCCCCCATGCTGATATCCTTCCCTCCATTTGACGGGCAGGCTCCAACAATATAAGTTATCCCCTCTTAATTTTATTAAGTCCATTGCCCAGCACATTCCACTGGACGGGAATTCAGCTCCTCAAGTGACTCTGCAGGTCAGACTCCAGCGGCTCAGATGGAGAGCAGCAATTACTGGAACGTGTGAGATGTGGCAGGAGAGCAGCCTGCAAAGAGCTTGGCCACCCTGGCAGCACCTACAGAAACTCCTGTGAGGTGGGGATTTAAACCCAGCCAGGTCTTGTGTCATCATCCATCCGTCTTCTTGGCTTTCCCTCTCCAGGAGCAAATGATGAATGTGACCTTCTTTGTTTGAGTTCTTGCAATGAAGCACTGTTTGCATAAGGCTCTTTTTTATTTATTTTTTTCCTGCGGCTTGTTGACTTTTATAAGACATTCATAAATTTGTTCTGAGTGCCAGTGAGATGCTTAATGGTGCTAAAGGGAAGGTATTAAGGATAGTCAACTCATGTCAGAACAAGCCACTTGAAAGTAGCTATAAATATTTGTCTGGATTTCATTTTGCTAACAAACAGCTTCTTTTCTTCTTCTCCTCCCATTGCCCCCCTTAAAGGGTTGATCTCATAAACAACAGAAGAATTTTCTCATTAATAAAAAAGCACATGTCTGGATTTGGGTTTTTTAATAGAAACTTTCCTACTGGCGACATTTGAGTCCTTGTATTCTGTCTGCATGGAGTCGGCTCCCTTTTCAGGAAAACCTTGGCAGCCTGAGACCTCCAGGGTGAGCTCATGTTCTTTTGCACTCCCTCAAACTCATCCCTGCTCTTTCATTGCTCTGGCAATGAGTTTAGGCTAGACTTAGGGACTGCAGTGTCCTAGAAGCAAGCCAGTAGCTACACATTCCTCCTCATTTTGCCCATGAGCACACAGGAGGGTTTTGGATCCCTTCAGGACTGCAGCCACTTGCCACACAATTTGGGAACTCCACCCTCCAGTCCCATTGCTCCAAGGTCACATTGAGAGGGACACAGAGAATATCTTATTGTCCTTGGGACCAAAATCCCTCTCATTGGGAGCTAGGACTGCTAACTGGGGGCTACCACACGTGCAGCCCCCTCCAGATCCCTGCCAGCCCCAGGGCAGCAGAGACAGCTTTTCACACAAGAATAGTCCAAAGCTGCTTCTTGGAACCAGCAGGGATGGATGCTGGGGGCTTGTCCCAGCCTCTGGCTTTGGGCAGGCAGAGCCCTTTCCTTCCCAGAATAGTCTCTGCTTGTGTTTCAGCACTGGAAGACCAAAGTTGTGTTGGGATGCAACCACCACTGGAGGTCTGAGGAGCTCCAAGCAGCTCCTGCTGGTTCAGATGAGCAGATAGCTCAGCACTCAGCCAGCAGGAGAGCCAAGGGGGTGTCCAGAGGGGTCAGATGGGAAGGAGAGGAAGCCTCCTTCTTTGAAAAGCAATTTAGGAGACCAACAAGAGTGGGAAAACAAGGTTTGGGAGGGTCTTTTTATTTGGTTGGTTTAACTCTGTGGGAAGAATGAGTTGTCAATGCAGTTTTTTATTTGTTTTTTTGGTGTTCTCATAGACCAGAGCTCATTACAGCTGCCCAGAAAGTACCAGTGAGGAAATCTTGAACACTGTCACCTCAGATAGATCCCATGGGAGCCAGGGTGAGTTTTACCTCGGGAAGGACTTCCAGCTTTGGTCTGAGCCAGCAAGCCAACTTCGATTTGCAGCTTAAATCCCTGCTAAAAATATTCCAATCCCCCAGAGAGCTACCCCAGACAGCAAGGAAAGCATAAGAGAAAATAAACTTTCTAATACAGAGCTCTAAACTGTCTCCAGTGTTTTTTCTGGATCCTTTTGGATTTTCTGGATATGCGCAGAGCACTCTCCGTTATAAGGCATCATTATGGCACAAACAAACCCTGCCCTCCAGCACAGGGATGGGAAAGACCTGGCAGGTGGTCCAGATCAGCAGAAATAAGAGCAAACTACCACACAGGTGAGGCACCTGCCCGGGGGAAGGCTGCGGCTCCCTGCCAACCTCCAGCTCCCGGCTGCTCTTGTTCTCCCTCCTCCCTTCTTTTTTTTTGGTTTTTTTTTTTAACTCATGTATATCACTCAAGCAGCTTTTCCCAGTGCCTGCAAATGCTAATTGCCATGGTTTGTAACATTCTGTACCCCACTAGAATTCGATGGCAGCCCAGCAGCCCTGATGATATGGTGGTGAATGATTTATCCACCGTGTACCACATTCCTGCACCGTGCTGAAGCAGTATTGCTGGGGAGAACTTGGAGTGATTAGTTTGCCTCTGGTGTGGGCTACAATCAAAGGTTAATGGCCTTGAGCACCCAAGAAGTTCAATTAATGCCTTGAAATGGCCTAGCTGGAAGGCCTTTATTAAATGGACCATTAACACACAGAACACTATTTCATGCCTTTGTAAACATGAGTAAAATACCCCTCACATCCAAATAGCAAGCACCTGAAGAACTCTTTGTTCAGAGATGGGCCCCAGCTGCATTATGGACACACATTTCCACCAACACCACCAAGTTTAAGCTCTCTAGAAGGTCGAAAGTCCTGGAAAAAACCTGGGGTTTCTGGCACTATCAGGAAGCAGCAGTTTTGTACCACCTCCTCTCCCTCTTCAGTCTCTGCCCCCACCAAAACTCCCAAAAGCCTGGAATGAGCCCAGTGAAGAAGAGAGTCCTCCCAGGGAAGGAGAAGGAGTTCTGGTGCTCATTGAAGGAGCTTTTGGGGACAGACCCACCCCATGCACCAGAAAAACTTCATCTGGTTGCTCTGCTCATCCTGTCACAGAGTGTGAGGGGGGAAACGTGGATGGCTGTCACAAGAGCTGCCTCAGCAGCTGATTTATTGAAATGTAGAAAGGTTTTCCTGTCAATCCATCTAAGCAATCCATCAGTGCTTCCAGCTGATGCCACCAAGAGCCACATCCCTCCAGCCCCTCAGAGGAGGGCAGGGAGAAGCAGCCAGATCGTTCAGGGACCACAAGATAACTCTTAGAGTTGGTTCTGACGAGAGTGGAGCTGGGAAGAAACCTCCAAGGCCAGTGACTTGCTCAGGAACCCCTCACTCCCTCAGCACCCTTGAAGTCACACATTGACCTGATTTTAATTGCCCACTCCCTGCTTCTTCTTCTGCTGGAGACTCATGCAAGGTCCTTTCTCCACAGGCCACCCATCCCTTTTTAGTTCACTTATAAACCTTCACCCACAACACCTTCTTGGCCAGGACGGAGCCAGCTGTGATGCAACAAGGCAGGAGAATGTCACCGTGCAGCCAGCACAGGTTTCCTTTCTGAGCCAGCCCATCCCAGCCATAAAACTCCCTGCCAAGGCAAATTGGATTAAGCTCAGATCAGATTGTGTGAGAGCTGGGCTGTGGGGACTTTTCACTCTGGCCTTTCTTCAGCAAAAAGAGCTCCAGAGGCTCAGCGTGACAACAAGAGGGAAAAAGGGAGAGAGCCTGGAGCCATGAAGAGAAAACTGGGCTCCCAGGGAGAGGAGAACAAAGGGAGATAAGATGCAAGGTAAATAAAAAAGTACAAGAGCTTAGTTGTGACTTCAGAGAGAGAAAGTGGGGGGCAAGGGGTCAAACTTTACACTAATTAACCTTGTATCAGCAAACCTTGAAAGCCTGAACTGCCCCAGGGGCTGCAGCACGGGAGGTCAACCTGGGCCATCTTCATCTTTGAAACCAAGGGTGAAAAGAGTGACAAAAAAAGGGACAGCTCCACCTTCAGACCCCAGGCAGTCTGCAACGCTCCCACCTGAAAATGGGAGTTTGCTCTGGAATCTCCCCACAGCATCGTTTACATTTGTAAAAAAACCAAAAAATAAACAGCCTTGTGGAAATGTGCACCTGCTCCCTGATCCACCAAAGCAGGGATCTGTGGGCTCACCTTTAAACACTGCTAACCCAGACAATCTGAAACCATTAAACATTTGCTTAAATACTTTTCTGGATCAGGCAAAGTATTGCCATGGGTGTCCTCAGGCTGCACAGTTAATTGAAACAACACATGGTTCTGTCAATGCTATGGACACAGCATTAAAAATCAGGCAGCAAACTCACACAGATATAGAAATTATGAGGACTAAGGCATAAAGCCATTAAAAATCCATGTCTTGTACAGGATATATATATATATGTATGATATATGATATAGAAAAAGGGTAATTACATCTCTGTTCTCAGTGGCTAATAGGAAAATGGTAAGCCTGGTTTGAGTGTTCTGGCTAGAGGAAACACAGCATAATTGCCATTTAATGCCTTTACTTGTTGGCTTGGAAAGAGAGCTTGAATTCTTGGTGTATTAACACTGGAAAAGCATCAGAGCAAAAGGTGCCTCATTCAATCACTGAATACCCACTTTTACTCTGATAAAGAAAACCAACCTCCATAGCATCTTCCTTATTTCCCCTCCTTAGCACAGGGGATCCCCAAAACCACTGGGGGATCCACTCAGAGCTTCTGCACACAAAATGCAGATTTTTCATTTTGTTTTTCCTCATTGGTGGAGTCCTGAATGACAATCACAAACACCTGGGGTTACTGTAGAACAAATTAATTCTGCTAGAGGGTCGCCAGCAAGATCAACCCCACAAACAACACTGGGGGGGTGTTCCTTTATCCAGGTCCTGGCTGGAAATTCTGCACACCTTTGTCCCCCCTGGCAGAGAATAAAAATGTCAATTTTTCAGGCTTTGGGGAAGGCAGTGCCAGCTCTGCCTAGCCCCTAGCACACACCAAACTAAGAAATGATCCCAGCAGAGGGAAGAACAAAGCTGCATTCCCATTCTCTCAGTATGAGGGAGCAGTGATTGAGAACTCCTGAAAATCGCCTTTTGCTCCCCAGTCCAGTTTGTATTTGTTGAAGCCCAAGGCAGACAAACACGAGAGGAGCCCCCAGGAATCCATAACCACCCTGATGCTTCTGGGTAGCAAATCATCTCCGCTGCCATCTGTTTTCAGTCACTTCCAAATGAGTTCTGAAGAGTCAATTGTTTTCTTCTAGGAAAAATAAACATGCAAGCTGTTATTCACCCAATTTCCAGCAATTTTCTGCTGTGGGTAAATGTAGCTTCAGATTTTAGAACTAAGTCTCGTTCTCATCCAAAGAATTTTGCAATATAATTACCTCATTTTTACTGACTTGGATAACTGTTGCCCTTTGAAAAAAAAATAAAGAAAAGGGGGGGGGTGTAAAGTCTGCAAGACTAATTCCTCCCCTTGCCCCTTTGTTATAAAATCTTGGAACAATTGACAGTGATTAATCTCACTTGATATTTCTTTGGTTCTCTATTTGTTGATTTAAAGGCACTTTATGACTGATTGTTTTCAGTTGCCTGGACAGCTGTCAGATCTCTACTGTGGTTTGATTTGGCTTTCGGGGAGCAAAATTATTATTTTTCTTATTTTTACAGCCCTGAAACATAGTGGCTGACGGAGGTGGCCCATCAAAAACCATCTATATGAAACCAAAACTACATCCAGATTGAGAGAAGATGGCTCAGACGTTCTGCAGGCAGATTATACAAGCATGTGGAAGGCAATAACACAATTCTTTTTATTTTATTACTAGTTTTTAAGATGCCCAGCTTGCACATAGCCTCAAAAACAGTGGCAAAATCCATCCTTAAGTGCAAGATCAGTTGTTTTGTAGGAATAACTTTGGCCTTTGGAGCAGCACTTTGGAGCTGGTGTGGAGCTGTATTTTCTGCTTGTTTCAGGGCTGGAGTGGTGCAGTCCAAGTAATTCCCATCCCTGCCTGCCTGGGAAAGGCTGTGTTCAGTGAAAGGAGAGTGAAACAGGGTCTGAGAGTCTGAACCACGGGAAAAAACCATAAAAGAGTGAGGAGAGCTCAAGACAGGAAGGTGTTTATACTGAACAGCTCAATATCCATCACCTGCAGCCTTCTGTCCCTAACAGTGACTACAGCCTTTGACTTTAAACCTCACCCTCAATTTTAGCTTCTTTTCATCTCTGCATCTTCCTTTCACCTCCACCTCACCACTGTGCCCACCTACCTGCCTTTGTGGCTCTTCACTTCTCTCATGGTGCATCTACAAACCTGACTAGAACTGCTTGAGCATCATCCCTGGCCCATCCTCCTGTCCCTTTTTTGGATCCCAAGCCAAATCCTCACCAGATTCTACCTCAAACAAGGCTGGACAGAGCTTGGAGCAACCTGGGATAATGGAAGGTCCCCCTGGCCATGACAGAGAAGCAGAACTAAGTTTTCTCAATTTTCCCTTCCAGTCTAAACCGTTCTGGGATTCCCTGGTTCAAAATTTACATGGGAGCTTAAGCCTGTGGAGAGAGCAGCTGCTATTGGCTCCAGTCTGCTAAAATTTAAGCACAAAAGAATAAAAGCCCTTACAACCTGGGGTTTTCCTGGATAGGTGATGGGATCTGCTTACACATCTTCACGTTTTTGTCCCTGCTCAGTTAGACAAGATGAGGAGAAGACGAGGTGAGCAGTGGGTGGTGGCACCTCAGGGACATTCACGGCCCAGGGCCCACGTTTAATTCCTCATTCCTTGTTGAAATCTGTGGCTCCCACCACCCAAAGTTTGCAACACACAAAACAGCCAGAACAAGTGCATAAACACAGTGAAATGAGGGGTGGGACTCATCATTTTGCAGACTCTCACTGCGTGCAAAGGAAGTTCTCTCCAGCACCTGAGCCACCCTCGCCTTCCAATGCCCACATCACTTCCCAGGCTGCCTCCTCTGGTATTCCTAGCTGGAATTAGGATTACTACCAGCTCTCTTCAAAATGAAAATAACCCACACAGTTCTTATTTTTGGCTACCAGATTATTCTTCACCCTTTCAGCCCATTCTGAAGCATCTTGCATTATTCAGATGCAGTGCCCCTGCTTTTCTCATTGAGGGCCTATGGCCCTGCTACTCTTTTCAAGCTGCACACTTATATTTTCATGGAGTTTTACTTTTCCTCCTCCAGTCCCCTCCTCCACAACACACTGCAAGCAGTGGAAGCGAGCCCCACATGATGCCCTGAGAGCCTGTGTGGAACAATAGACTTGAGCTTGGTTTTACTAAGTCACTCATCCCAACATCTTTTCTCTGCCTTACTTTCTAAACCATGGCCATAAATTGTTGGGAAAACAGCAGAACGGTCGTATCTTTGCATCCATGCCCTCAGCAGCTCTTCCAACACCCTGCAAATATGGGCCACCAAACCCACCAGGCCACATTTAATCCTGCACAACACACTGGTGAAGTTTCCCTCCACCCTTGCTCACATACAGATCTTTCAACCCAGCTGAAACATCTGGGAATTCTTTTCCCAGTTCCACAAACCCCACAGTGCTCTTTTCCCTTCCATTCCTGATCGTCTTCTTAGGGTAGCACCTTCTCCAGACACATATCCCTTCTTCTCAGCCACATGGACACGGGATGGATTGGGACCATCCTTGAACAAATAAATCCCAGTGGATTTCTCATCTCCTCTGCTTTCCACCACTCTGGTCTCATTTCTGTCATCTGATTCCTCTTTATCCACATTGCCTGTTCTCATACCCATTCACGTCACACATTTAAGAAGGTGGCAAAGAATGTCAAATGTCTTTATAATCCCACTAAGCCACATTTGCCGCTTCAACCACCAGCTTAGCTCACTGTGCTCCTTCTAAACAAACACAAACAACCCCAGAAGATGTAACAACAACAGAAACAGGCGGGCAGCAGAGCAGGACATGCTGAAACTCAGCGTGGTCCCCCATTAGGGGGAAAATTTTGAGTGTTTTAATCATGACAACGGCACCACAATGAATCAGTGGATCTGCCGGGTCAGCCTCTCGGCTGGTGCAGCGCCAGCAGCTTCCACAGGGGTTCATCAGGCATGAATTGGCCCCATATGTGAAAACCCTCCACAATTTGTCCAGTTTCTCCCATCCCTGCGGAGCAGAGCCTCCATATGTGAGATCCCACAGAGCTGTCAGCCAACGTTACATTTCAATAACAGCAAAAACAAGCGGGGCTGCACAAACCGGCGGAACAATCCCATTGCTCATAAACTGGCAAGTGACCTCCGCTGGCAGCGCTCCTGTTGATCACAGCCCTGTCTATGGAACAAAACATAGGAGCTATCACGCCAGAACAGGCTCAGTGATCCATCCTCCCCCTGCCTCCTGTCTCCAGCAGAGGCCAACGGTGATGTTGGAACGGGAGATTAAAGAAGGATCCGCGACGCCTGCGAGGCACCTGGGCTGCTTGTGCAATATTTCGCCCTCGACCCAGGGAAAAACTCTCCTGTTCCATGCAAGTGTGCAATATGTCATCCCAGAGAGGAAAGGCTCTCAGGGGCTCTCAGAAAGCAACATATGTCCAAGTCATTTTTTTTTTTGATGACTGTCAAAAAAAAGACAACTGCCTTTTGTTTATTCTCTATTTTAGCTCGATTGGTATAACTGAACGTCTTCTTCTTAAGATCAAGTCTTTGATTTTACAAACTGATTGAGTTTTGTGTCAAAAATATTATTCTTACCTAAATTTATATCTTTTCTCCCAGAAGTAGATGCATAGGATTATTTTTTTTCATCTTACCCTGTTTCTCGGGGTTTTAATCCCTTGCCTTGCCAATCCGACACCAAATCAATGCTGGTCCATTCTATTTCTTTGTAGATAAATTCCCTCCCTCCAAACTTCAGAAACTTTTCTTCTTTTCTACCTTTATTCCATCTTGTCTTGGACATGATTTATATAGTTCAGCTACAACATTATTTGGCTCAGTCCTGAACAGAGATTGCATTCTCAGTTCCCGCAAGGCAAACAAATAGATCAGGTGAAAAAATTAAAAAACCCGAAATAATATCTTCTGCTTGAAGTGGAGTTCAGGGAAGTTGATGAGATGATGCTGATGGCTACACAATGAATCATGTCCTTTCTAAACTGAGATTTGTTATCAAGTACAAACCACTCTTCAATTCAAAAGTGGAGAAGGTGATCGGATGACCGTTTTATTTATTCATTTTTTGTCCCAAAACAACAGATTTTGCAAACATTAAACCCAAAGAAAATGTGATCTCAACTATTTCTTTTATTTTTGTTTTTTTCATCTCTGAAAGAATTACTTTTTAAATGCTGTGCCTGGTAGAAGATGCTAACATGAAAAACTCTCTAATTTAGAAATGAAGTATAGACGCTTTTAGTTTAAATTACTAAAAATTAAAAAAAAAAATAAAATAAAATTTAAAAGAAAAAAAAAAATTGTCTCTCTCAATTTATATATTATTAATACTCAGAGCATCTCCTGATTCCGGAGACTGAAGCAGAGAGGGAAAACTCCTGCATCCATCCCCAAGCCGAGTATTTGGTGAGGTCCCATCCGGGGCTGGCAGCCCCGGCCCCCTCGTTAGGTGCTAAATTAATGCCTGGCCCCCGCTGTGGCCTTGCCAAGCGGGCAGAGCTCCAGCCCGAGCCTGCCTTGTCCAAACAGCACCCACCCTCTAGTGGGATGAGGGAAAAGTGCTGCTCCAGCTGCTCCCGGCCGGGATCCATCCCGGATCCATCCCGCGGCAGGGACAGCTGCTGCACACCCGGAGGATGCTGCTGGAGGATGGGCACGGCCACATCTTCCCTCCTCTGCTCCTCCCTGCCCTCCCCAGCCCTGCTGGATCATGAAGCGTCTTTAGCTCTGAGGGATGCTCCCAGCCAGGGGGAGCTTCTGCAGGAAACTCCTGGGATAATCTTTGCTTTCGAGCTCTGCTTTGTGCACTGCGGAGTCAGGGCTATTTAAACCGCATTTTTACAGGTGAGCAGGCAGTGATCACCCAGGGAATCGGTGGCTGGAAGGATCGTTCTGGGCCAAAAATAGCGTGGCAGCAGGACCAGTGACTGTCCCCCCATGGTGGCACTGCCCTCAGGGGCTGTGTCCAGTTCTGGGACCCTCAATTCAGGAAGGACATTGAGGGGCTGGAGTGTGTCCAGGGAAGGGTCTGGAGCCCCAGGAGGGGCTGAGGGAGCTGGGAAGGGGCTCAGCCTGGAGAAAAGGAGCTCAGGGGGCCCTTGTGGCTCTGCACAAGGCCCTGGCAGGAGGGGACAGCCGGGGGGGTCGGGCTCTGTTCCAGGGAACAGGGACAGGAGGAGAGGGAACGGCCTCAGGCTGGGCCAGGGGAGGCTCAGGGTGGACAGCAGCAGGAATTTCCCCATGGAAAGGGAGCTCAGGCACTGGAACTGCCCAGGGAGGGTTGGATCCCATCCCTGGAGGTGGCACTCAGAGCTCTGGGCTGGGGACAAGCTGGGGATGGGGCACAGGTCAGACTCAATGATACCAGAGCTCTTCTCCAACCTTAGTGCTTCTATGATTATACCTTTCTTTTGCTGTAAGGAAAGGACCAAACACACAATCAAACAAAATCGCTGAGGGAAACAAAAACCCAGCCAGTTTTCCTCTATGCATTAGATAGACCAATATTACTGAAAAGTAATTAGGAAGTGGAACATTTTTGTTCAACAATGAGCACTGCACTCATGGCACAACCTGTGCAAGTGCAGCAGAGCTGTCAACAGGTCTCAAATATTAGTAC